CGCAAGCCTGAAAATTTAATGGCGCCGCGCGAGTCAAAGGAAAGTAAACGAAGTTTCGATCTTATCGATCCGATTGGGACTTTTTCCCTCTTGTGAACGGGAATAGAATATCCGGCGTTAGGAACGGCCAGAGAGTCTGCAGGAATGTAATTACTCTGGTGAAAATGACGACCGACTTCTTCTATATTAATCTCCACGTCACTTACGGGTTCGCAGATTAAAAAATTCCACGACGAATCGTCGCGATGAGTCAGTAGCATAAAGTAAGTTATTTCGATGACGTGAGTGAATTAGCGACGGTTCCATTCGGCAGATTGCGTCCAAACCCCGAAAACGAGAAAATACTTTTTACGATTGGAACCATGAAAACCCGTGAAATTCGTCGCATTTATATATTCGTTCTACTCTGACGACAAATATACTTCAAAATTAGAGGGTGTGTATACTTTCATGGTGCAGAATAATGGTGGAACGTACGGAACATCCTTCACGTGGTCGTTACTTTTTAGCATGTTTCAATATTCGAAGGTTTTTGCGGTGATTCTAGAATTACCATTGAGATTTGGAAAGTGTAACTATGAAATACGAGGGCCGTTCAGTGAGTAAAGAGACAAATGGCTATTGTTTTAGTATCGTTTATTCGGTGAATCTTCAAGCCTAATTCTTTAATTCTTTTTTTATGCATACTGAAATATCTGTCGAACAGCTGTTTTGAATTGATGAACAATTGACAAAATTTTGAAAGTATTGCTCTTATTTTAGATATTTTTCGAACTAGAGCTCTTCCTCTTTACTTATCGAATGATCCTGGTAAGTAATTTGTAGCATGTTCATCCGATTATTCCTTTTTTTTAAATATATTCAAATACACTTCTAAATATAATATACTAATTTTTGAATACACTTTGAAATTATATATTCTACTTTTTAAATTTTATAGCGTATGTTGACACATTGTTGACCGGCAATTTTACGCAAAAGCTATCTCGTGTCACCGGCTATTATTTCGTAACTGAATGTGGAAGTGAAACAATCTAAATAAACTTCATTAAACTTTATTTATACATAATGAATTGAAATGAAACTTTGGACATATGTATCTTTTATATAACTTTTAATATAAAAGAGAAGCAAAAAGTGAAAGCAAATTCGTAAATCGAAAAACTACGATTGCCGTAGTGTCATAAAGTTACTGCTGTTACGAAACGAACTAACGGCTCCCGAGACTAATTACAAAGGCGAAAATATATACAATAGAAATACATGTTGAGAAATTCCAAGGGTTGGGCGGCAGGTACACCCATCGAGGACTAAACAAGTAGAATTGTGATGAGAACCTAAATACCAAGAAAAGTATTTTTTTAGAATAAAGCGGACACGACACGATTGTTATTGCTTGTGGTTGTGGCGATGAACTTTCGAGCTTTGTGGATGTTTGCACGATGTTGTGCCGTCTAGATACTGGTTCGAAGGACCACCCAAATGATTGGGACTTGTAAAAACTGATTTATGGTATCGCGTGATGTGAGCTGGTTCCTCCTTAGTTCTCCTTGTTCGTGGTGGTTGACGACGACTGTCGTCTTTGCCGCCCTTCCAGTGCGCCCTTAGCGCGCTGTCACCTTGGAAGGGTGGGAGACGGTCGCGTGGGGTGGGCGGAAGGTCCCAAAAATCTGGAATTTCCTCCGGGTGACTAATCGGCAAGCGGACCGTTACATACAGATGTGCCGTTCGGAAATTCGTGGTTTATGGTATGTTCGTAGGCTATTGAGCGCGAGGGACACAAATTACTAAAAATCTAGCAAGGATGTAATTAGACCCGTGCAAGCAATAAACGAAAATCCTCAACTCAAAAATAACCGTTCCCGGTCGATCGTGCCATAAACCGTTTCTAGAAAACATATATTGCCCTGCGTTTCAAAAATTGAAATAGCTAATGCAAGTGCAAACACGAGTTAACTCGTGACCGTTCAACAATGTGTTAAGTAGGTGTTAGAAATAAATCTATCAGTTCGCTTCAGAAGGAAGATTAAAATAAAACACACTCACCTTGATTGTCCGGCTTGCGTTTCTTGATCGGAACATCGCCACCCTCGTGCTGATTCACCAGTCGCTTCAATTGACAGTTCTGTGACAACAGCTGGGTCTTCTCTTGCTCCAGCTGGTATATGTATTCGGCAGTCTGCTGAAGTATCGCAGCCTAAAGAAAGAACAACGTTGTGTTGTTAAAACGATCATTTGTGCTATTACATATTCTTGTTCTGCTTAGTCATTATCTTATTCACTTTGCTTTCTTTATCGTCGTTCAATTCTTACAGTGAATTGATACTGCCAGGTAACTCGAAACGTGCATAAATAATCGTAGAAAAATTGATTTCTAAACCTGCAAAATAATGTACGTCGTAATTTAGAATTTTCCAATATTTCACATTTACGTATATTATTATGTATATCATTGTTCGAAATCATTAGTACAGATGTGGAACAAAAAGCACTGAGAGTCACGCTCGGTCGCTTTAAAACAAATGTAAAACAAAAGAATACCGACGCGTTCCACATATGGCGGATAATTTAGGAAACACTTGCCTGGTCCATCTCTCCCGGAATTACCCTATTTAGTATGGTACATTAAACTTTCAATTTCCAAAAATTCTGAAGGCTTCTTAGAGCGAAGTTGGACAGTTGTTTATAAAACAAAAATTTGTGTACAAATAAGTAAAGCGATTTTAAGCAAATGAATCATTCTATCGAAAGGTATATGTTCATTCGGGGTGCCAATGCATTCGTCACAAAAAATTTCGACAAACTCAAAATACTTCCCACTAAGTATGCATTTTCACGAGTACGATCGTTTCCTTCCAATCAACTCGATAAAACAATCGTTGCGCCACGTGTATTACATTTTTAGACTTAAACTCCATTCTTAACCCTCTGTAACGCCACGTGACTTGGAAGTTACACAATCAACCCTCTTATAACACGGTGCAAAAATTGCGACCGTCCTCCTTTAACACGATATTCTCTTACATGGTTAAGTGGAAAAAATAAACAAATCAAACTCTCTACATTTTCGTTAATAGATATAACGATTGCTTAATATTGGGTGGCTCGGAAAGTTCGTAGCGAAATGTAGGAAAAGTTCAAACCATCGTATCTCTGTTACTAATTGAGACAGCGACAATAACCGAAAGGCATTTTACTCGTTGTTTGAAGACGAACCCAACGCACTCCTCAAATTATTCATAAGGCGAACGGGGAAGTGCTTACCGGGTGGTTCGGAAAGTTCGTAACCAAATGTCGGAAGAATTCAAACTGATATATGTATCTCTGTTTCTAATTGAGATAGCGACAAAAACCAAAAGGTGTTTTACTCGTTATTTGAAGATAAATCCGGCGCACCCCTCAAATATTTTTTGCGGTGAAACGTTGCCACGAAAAATTCAACATCCACGCTCCACTGCAGTTAAAACATAGTTCGACTTATATCCACCCCTGTTCACCTTGCGAATAATTTGAGTAGTGCGTTCGATTCACCTTTAACTGTCGAGGGAAGTACCGTTTAACTCTTATCACTACGTCAATTAGAAACAGAGATACGGTGGTTTAAATTTCGCTATGAATTTTCCGAACAACCCAATACTTAAGCAAATGTTACCTACACATATTTATCTGAAGAAGAAATCTATAATAATTCGTTCTTTAAAATTTCTTCATAAAACTGACTACAATAATGTATCAATATGTGTTGCAAATCCATTGGTAAAGGCGAAGCCCTGCCCGCAATCAGCACCTAGCGCGGCGGAGGCGCTTCTGGGGCTCGCGCCCCGATTTTCAATTGTTCTAACAGAGATCAAGTTTTCCCAACGCTCTGCGATGTAATGTAATCTTATCAACACTTTACCGACCGGTAGCCTATTAATCGGCTTTTTGCCGCCAACGCTTACCGACCGGTAGCCTATTAATCGCTTTTTTGCCGCCGACGCTTACCGACCGATAGCCTATTAATCGGTCGAACTTTGATTTAACATTTCTATAGGTATGAGAAAAAGCGCATATATTCCCGTGCGATAGCCTAGAGTCTAAACAGAGCCGGTGTCAGCGATGTATCTGTAGCCGAGTGAGCGGTCGGTAATGCGTAGGATGTTCAACCGCTACCGGTCGGTAAAGTGTTAAGAATATATAATATTATTTAGTATATCTTTGCGTATATATTTCGACAATATCCCCAAAATAACAATATGTACCAGTATTAAAAACAAAATTTCAAATATTGCTATCGGCCGCATCTTCACACCACTTTTTCCTTAATTTCAGCTTTTCAGCAAGCGCTCCCTAAAAGTTTGCCGACCTCGAAAGGGTTGAATTACGAAGAACGAGAAACCTTAAGAAAAACGAAAAAGGCGGGACGACGATGATTCTTTAAAAAGAATCGAGAGTGAAACGAGAGGGACGCAGGTGTTCCTCAAGCATTATTTGTAACCTGCGTTCGAGGACACGGGGTGTGTGGGAGGAGGTGCTTCCTGTTTACATGGCTGAAGCTTAAAGGGTTTTACTCTGTGGGGGGACCACCATGGGTCTGTGCCCGAGTCGATAACATCCGGAGCGGCGATGTACGCGTGTCGTACGCACGTACTACGCCGTAGTAAAACGGGAATGAGCCGGCGAAAACAAAAGAGCCAATTGATACCGAGTCGAAGGTAACGGGCTACGGGCCGTACACGTTTTGCACCTGCCGACAGGTGGCCAACGAACAGATGCCCCTGTTGATCGTGAAGCTTCCTCCAACTTCAGCTCCGTGTCTTCAGCTGTTTCGTAAACTTGTTCCCTTCGACGAGTGTGTATTTAAAATCGCGTTTCTACTGTTCCGGAGAAATACAGACACAATGTGCATTTAATTCTTTCACTGCTGTCGGCGTGTAGAAGCCCTTTAGAAATTTACTAGGACAATGCTGTTTAGGAGGTCTGTAAGCGGTTTGAAATTTTGCTTTCACCGTGCTGTTCACGCCTTTTGGCGCACTTTTCTTGCAATTTTTTGTCTTTATTTCTGCAGGTTGTTTACAATCTGTCTACTTAGACAATAAGTAAGTTATGTGTAGGTATTTGCTATCTAATATTACGTTTAGAAATGAAATCTTTCCGACTGGATTCACGTAATTAATTCAAAGTCCCCGAACGAAAGTCACCAAAGTATCGAACGGCGGAGAAGTTCAGCTGAGCACCAACACGCTTTATCTACTCGCGCATCTCTACCTGACTTACGATCTCAAGATCGCATCGTGGAGCATCGTTCACGGGCGCATGAAGAGGCACGGCGACGAAACTGGCCGAGAGATGCTCGTCGAGGAGGAAGTGATCGAATTCAAGCGACAACGAAAAGACGTAAGCGTATACAGGGTGCTCGGAAAGTCGTGGTAGAGGCAAATACAGGCTTCTCTAATACGGTGCAAAAATTGGGACAATCCTCCTATAACACGATATTCTTTTAAATGGTTTCTGTATAACACGGCTTCATAAACTTGGGCAACTCTCACATAGCACGAATGTTTCAAGTATGCATTCTTATGCTGTTCCATTTAAAAAAGTATCTGACTCCCGCCAGTTCTCCAGCACACGCATTCTGAGAACACGGTTTCAATATAACAAGGAACAAATTCTCCTGGTTTGCATTTGTCCTAAGTTTCTCGCTTAACACGGTTTCGATACAGGACGAAGCGCATTCCCCTAGTTTTTATTAGTTTACGATTTCGCTTAACACGTCTTCGACACAACACGGAACGAATTAACCGTGTTACAGGAGGGTTGGAAGTTAGAAACAGATCAGATTTTCCGCATTTATTATAACACGGTTTCCACGGTTTGAGATGACAAGGCCACGGTACTCTGAGAACACGGTGCAAAAATTGCGGTAGCCTTCCTATAACACGACATTTTTATGACACGGTGCAAAAATTTGGACAACCCTCCTGTAGCACGTATATTTCGCGTTCAAAATATACCTTTACTTGGATTAATTCAAGACGGTTGAATATTAGCCACTGACAGCTTGAAGGAGACTGGAGCGTGACTCTTGCCCCGATTGTTCCCAAACAATGCATGTTTATATTTCACTTGTTTAAAACAAATGCGAACAAACCAGAGAATGAGACAAGTGTGATCGATGTGCAGTATGCGTAAAAATAAAAACATCGCGGGTCTCATGGTCAAGTGGTATCACGCTGACGTCGTCTATAGGCGACGCTCGTACACACAGGTCGTCGCGCGGATGTCGCCTATAGGTGACGCTCGTAGCGAAAGGGTTAACCCCTTTACACATGACAACATGTCAGACTCGTGGCAGAGATTCTGGCGAAGATGTGAGAAAAATAGTTGTACCAGTAAGAAAAATTAATAGTAATCCTAATTTTCGTTGAAATTTGTAGGACTGAGAATTGCTAAATGTGATTAATCTGTGACAGATTAGTTTTTCTTACCTGATACAGTACTAAAGCAGAAAATGGCTGACGCTTAGATGCATAGTCAGAAAAGAAATCATAGGTTAAGGGGTTAATAAACTTGGACGCCTAACCCTCGTACAGCACGAATTTTTCCATCACATATTTTCGGTTGAAATTAACAGGGAATTCCCTTTTCATACAAAATAACGGCGTTTCCTCTCCTTCTTCTTTATCAGCGATTCACAATACGAAGTCTGTGCATCGCTGTTCGTAACACGTTCCATGCCGCGTGGGTCGCATACGTCCCACTCTGGACTTTGATATTTCCGCCTTTTCCTTTCTTTGACTTAAACTCTGCAACGACGACGATAATTTGTTAACACAAAAATTTTTCCTTTGCTCTGTAGCGCATCTTAAACGTTACCCCTTTGTCTTGATAGCAATGATTTTTGCAGTCTTGTAAATACTAGAAGGCATATAGGGTCAAAAGCAAAACTGTTAGTCTCGGCAACGTGTAAACAGGAAATCACTGAAAATCAGTCCGGCATGGAACGTGTTAATGAAAACCAATTCAGCTAGATTCGAAGATGGAGATATCAGAATGAGTAGGACTTTTAGCCTGTTAGAAAAAAAAAAGTTAGGCCAATAGTGTTTTTAGATGACAGTGACGATGGAAATCAATAGAGTGTTTGATTTCGAACAAGTCTTTGTTATTGCTGTAAATCAGGGGTTCCCAAAGTTTTGCCTAGGTGGGCCAAATTGCAGA